AAACAGGGAAAGGAAAAGACAAAGAAAGAAAGAAGGAAAGAAGAGAAGAACCAAAAACTCAAATGGCTGCTCGGCCGCCCCCCTCCCCCCCCCCCCCCGGGCATGCTGACCTTATAGAGACAGAAAGAGTGGGCCTTCTTACTAAACGCAAGGTGTTAACTGTGGCCAAGGTCAAAGCCAACATCCATCGATGAGTCGGGTCTCCATGCCGACCCGAGCTGGCAGACTGAACGCCGCACCCATGATGTCATCATTTGTAAGCCGCATCCACAATGTCAGGCTTACAAAGGACGGAATCCACCTGGGGCCACCACCCAGACACATGGGACGGAAAGCATGCTGAACGGGACATACAGAGCAATCGTTTACAGCTACATGCAACACACTGAACCTATTGAAGCAGTAGCCAATACAACAGGGGCGGGACTACAGGGGTACTGGACTCAGCTGAAAGCCGATTGGCCCCTGGAGTTCCCACTCCCCTGTCAGTCACTCATTCAAAAGATATTATTGGCCAATGATAAGGTTGCCCCCTCTATATGAATGATGGCCCCTCTTGTGCCCTCATCTAAAAAAAAAAAAAAATCCTACAATCACCTCTGCAATATGAGCATAGAATTATTCGTTCAATTAAGATACCTATGATACAGTCTTTAACAGACCAATCATTGCATTACTCCCAGTTAATTCCACAAGTACTGCTGTTAGTCACGCTGACTGTGCATAGAGACCGGGGGCCCGGCCACTCGGGGGCGCTGGGTAGCCAGAACGCACGTGATGGGATTCTGACCCCAACCGAGGAACCGCCAACTGCAGTCTCGGGGCAGGTTTGCGCGCGTGATGTGCGGCTCAGCGGATTACCCAGGTTTGAAGAGACAAGCAACCACGTGAGAAACCTCAAAACTCACAGAAACCAGAATTAATGGGGTTATCCCCACCCCCACCACAGGGTCCCATAATCACATCAGGGAGCAGAAAGGAACCAGGCCGCAATGGGACGACCAGGGTCCAGCTATGTAGCACATTTCAAGCCGTGCACAGGTGTTGCTGTATACAGCTTGCCCCCCCCCGAGATGGAAGGGCTATGACTCCCTGTAGAGAAATAGGCTGCAATGAACACGGTTTAATAATAAACTCAGACAAACAAAGAAATGGTAACTCGGTGCTCCTAAACTAGAAGGAGTGCGGAAGAGATCCGATTGCAGGCAGATTTAAAACAAAGCCAAACATTTCCTACTGTGGGCCGAGTCGTACACAGAACAAGGATGCGGGTACAGCAAACGGATACAGGGCGATTGGCTCAAAAGATATCAAATCTCCTGTTTGGTCCATGACACTATTAACAGAAGAATAAACCGTTTTTATGCAAAAGAACAATATGACACCTGAATGCTTTTAATAATCCTCATTGGGGGCTGTTTTGCGATGCAAACAATGAATAGCTTTAGTATATTTACATCATAAGTCACCCCTCACATTTACAATCCTGATAATAAACAGTGCCAAAGTTCTACTGATGGAAATATCCGTCATCACGCTAGAAAAAAAAAAATCAGCTAAACACGATATGCATGGTGAGAGTTCATGTTTGCCTCTCAGCTAGAAGCGGCGCTGTGAAGGATGTCAACCTACAAAATCATAACACAGCTCGCAAAAAATGTCACTAAACCAACATTACCAGATCAGACACGCCAAGGCAAAACCAAGCCCAGTGTCTAAACAGAAATGTTCAACAATTAAAACCGCACGCCAAATGGCCATGGTATTTACCCATTTATCATATTTTACGTATAGAGATTCCAAGAAAAAAAAAATGGATGTTTGCTAGCCGGCTATACCCGAGACTCCGGCAGAGGAGAGACTCGGGGAAACTTTCACTGACAGCTCGGAGCACAAAATACAGGAGCCGGGCGAAACGCGATGAGGGGACACAGAAATTAATTATTCATCCGGGCCGAAGTATAGAGGCATAAATTGGCCACCAAGCGAGAATTATGATCAGAACTCTAAGTTCTGCAGCCTTAGGGGAAAAGTAGCCCCACATTTCCTGTCGGTGATCCTCATAGCTGGGAGGGCAGAGCAATTAAAGGCCCAGGTGTGGTCTGAGTGAATAAAGCGAAAGGTAGGCTGTGTTCTGGTATGAGTACAATCCCAGGTATGGTGTGGTAGAAGCAGGACAAACCTAAAATCAGCTACATCAAAAGCGTTGTGAAGGTCCAAACCCTACAGGCAGTTTACAAGGCAATAAAACTTTCACATGCGTGTGCAGACTTGTCTCGAATAGAAAATCTCACTCCAGCCAGCTGACCAAAAGTTGGCAACCCTGCGTACAGCATCACTGCATTTTCAGGCTAAAGCACCGCTTCACATACGGCTTATATGTGCCGTGAACGGAGCCGGACATCGTGCCCATTGCGACCGGATGGCGTGCGGACCCATTTACCGCAGTTAACAGGCTGGTACTCGGAGTGTGGAGGAGACCTTGACCCGCTGCAAAACCACCGTGTTTCTCCCGTGTGCCAGGGGAGACACAGAGGGACAGTGTTCACGCTGCGTGGCCGATTCGGTTACAGCCTCAGGACAAAACCCCAGTGTCTAGTTTCCGCCAAACGGCTCCGGACAATGCTGCCATTTTTTTTGTTCCCACTTTAAATTAAACATATAAAAGTCATCAGGCTGAAAGGGGAATTGTGCATTATTTAGTCAAAATTTGCCACGACTTCATTCTCGTAAAATTTGGTCACAGGAGATGAGAAATGCACCAACTACCTTACTCTTTACCCCCAGATATTTTTAGATTTTATCTCCCAACAAAACTTTGTACATTACACAGGGAGAGCAATTTCTAAATGTTAATAGCGTTTAACTCGTGCAAGTGGAGTTGAAACATATCTGCAAATAAAGAAGCGTAAAGCACTTTGAACCACTGGATGAGAGCAGACAATAAAAGTGTCAGAATCTGTCTAGGGCATCCCATGCAAAGCCATCTTCGGCGTGCTTACCGTGCTTTCGTTGTAGGCCTACTATACTCCGCAGCTCTGACAACAATACCGAAAACGTCCAAAATACGGGATTACAACCTGCCAGGCCTAGAAGTTTTACCTACATATTTTAATGCCCGTATCAAACTGCATAGCACATCAATACGCACAACGTTATGTTAACCAGTCGTGTCCATTATACGAACACATCAAAGATCACTACCTATATCGGCAGTGTTTCTTATTTAAAAACTATAATAAAAATGGTGATTATAAAATAAGGCGGAGATCACCCCCAACAAAAAGTTGCTTTCTTGTTGGGCGGCTGGATACATTTTGTAGCACTGCATCACCAGCCCTAACTCTTGTTGAACCGCTGAGATCGAAACCAACCCACGTTGCCGAAAAGGGGAGCGATACCAAAAGCACCTGCCGGTCAGCGTGGACACATACCTGGCGATCCCCCCCGAAAAGCTCCCCAAGGCTTTCCTGTGGCGTCCGAAAAGTCTCCTCCTGGGGGAGACCTGTCCTTCCACCGGCAGCAAAACTGACTGAAACTTTTCCTCCGCTTAATGCTCCCAGAAAACAGCTTGTCCGCCGCTTCCATATACCTGCGCCCTCAGTAGGTTTCACAATGGGCTGAAAGGAAAGGGAGCCTTTCTGAGGAGGAGGAGTAAAGCTGAGCCAATGGAGGCGGCTTTGCCAAATAAACACGCCGAGCATTACAATATCATCATATTCAATATCATATAATGTTTGATACACTCTCATAATAGATTTTATTTTCAATAAAACAAAAATAATAATGCACGTTACGTGCGCTTGCTTTTTTATTTTCTGATCGACGGCGAGAAACTGTCCGACGGTCCCTAAGTCAGGTATTTCTGCTCCACAGAAAATCCAGTTTCGAGTCCCGGGCACTTCCTAAATTCTGATTATAGTTTAGTTACCTATGTTGCTCGGGATCGGTTCCAGCTTCCATGTTCTGGATAAGCGGCATGGATGTTTTACCGATCTGTGAAATTTTTATACAACGTAAACCGGTCCGTGGATGGTTGGGAACCCATAACCCGAATTTCCTTTGTAAATGTGTGTAATTACAATTCCAAATTAGAGTGCTCACTTGTATCATTGTGATAATCATATATCCTCCTTGTGTGACTAGCATAGCTTACAATAATAAACGAGCACGTTAAAGTTTCGTTCATCTCCAATTCATGAATAAATCAAAGGCAGTTCATCATTATTCTGTTTGGGGAGATAGAAATACTAAACGTATATAGGTCATAGTTTGAGCTGCACACCTTGTTTCTCTTACGTTGGCCTGTAGCTCACTAAACCTGTTTGACCCAGCAGACTACATGAGGAACTAAAGAGTAATGTCCAGCTGAAACGGTCATGTTTGGAATGTCTGGCGTTCATGTTCATTTTCGTTCACGTGTCTATCACAATAGTTCAATAACTAAAATTAGCAGTAGCACACATAGGTGTGTACATGACCCACCCATCATACCATATTATCATCTTGTGCTAATTTGGGATCGTTACTAAAAAAAACGATTACACAGGTTAAAACTAAATAAACCCGCAAAAAAACTGGTTGTATCAGTATCATTGCTCACGAAATCTGTATTTCTGTAACGTAAGCGCTTGCATTTTGCAAGGCTTTTTTAAAATCCGAAATTATTTAACCCCATATCCGGCAGATTGGCACTTTTTTTTTTTTAATATGCCAGAAAACTAACACAAGGGCTGCAATTCTAAATTCCTACCAGTAGGGGAAAACTAGACAACTGCGCATAGACGTTGAGTTCCTGAATGCGCTCCACAACGCACTGGCAATGTTGCTGGTTAGCAGTAATGCAGTACAGTGGGGAAATATCCATTTTGATTATATGTCTGTTGCTGTAGCTAAGACAAAAAACCTGAGAAACTCAACCATATGCAGAAACCTTTTACATACCATTATTTGACACAATGCAGTAGAAAAAAATGTACCAAAAGATGACACAGGCAATGTAAAACTTTACCATAGAGTTTATTCTCAATACAACAAAATACCAATATTTAAGAGACTCAGAAACCCCTTGATTACAAGTTAATACTCACTTAACAAGAATATGTAAATTACATGTTATTCCAAGACTGGAAAACTAAAAATGGACTCTAAAGTACCTTTATTTCATAATATTGCCTCCATCATATATATCTTTAAATTTGAAAAGCATAAACTGACAAAGAGCACAATGTATCAAACCACCTAGTTCTATTTAAAACATTGAAATAACACCGTCTAGTTAACATGACCTTCTGATTTAATTTTAGCGATATTGAACTTTTCTACATTATATCCCAGATAGACTCTGTGGAGCGATTCTTCTCCGCAGCTGTTAATAACAGTTACGAAAAGTCTATATTCTTCCAGCCTTCATTGTATGCACTGAATAGAGAGTTAACTCTGTACCATATATACAAAATAGGACATTTACAGTTCAAGGTACATCAGGGATAAAAGGTGACAGACAGCACAGAGGCTTGTACAAACACCGCAAAAATGTGCTGGAAACACATTAATTTCTAATGTGTTGATATATACAGACTTCTAAGACCAAAATAGCCCATTATGGGGGTGGAGCCTGAAATATGGGGTTACATTGTCGTTTCACCAGCAATATTTACAATTGGAATTTATAAACACAACGGCAACAAAATAACAAGGCATGCAGAGACAAAACATATTAATATACATTTTTACAGAAGTGTAATTAAATTAAAAACATGCAAGTGTTTTTTAGGTGGTACATCAGACTTTGATTGATGATTTCTTTAACAAACTTTAATTAAATCTAGGTCAAGAACTATCAACAAAGGCTATACAAATAGTACTAATTTAACATTGTTACTATTACAAAGCAGGAAAATAATAACAGTACATAAACGTGTCAAAGCTTATTAAATATAATTAAATATTCAATTACCTTCCTGCTTTTGGCCATAGTGACAATAATGAAGGATCCTTGCATTTGTATATTAATAAATAATCTGAAAGCTAAGACAATAAAGTACTAGAAAGAGAGAGGTTTCAATGTACAATTTTAGATGGTTACAGTATTTTAACCAGTCCTGAAGAATACTGTTATTCACAGACAGAATGATCAGATCACAAATGCAATGTCCAGTTTTAACTGCAAATTGATTCATTGACCGGTCATCACACCGCATAAACAAACAGCATGAGAACCAAGCGAGCAGACCCAGTGCCCTATAGGGCCAATTCTGACTAGGGCCAGCTAAATTTTGGTCTGACATATAAAGACTAGAGAGGAGTCAAACGCCATTTTGGAAATTCATCCTTGTGTCCAAACCTGTAAACCCCCCCCCCACCCCCATTTTTCTTAGTTATGATTTCTAATCCTGTAATTAAAGTTAATCGGAAAATAAAACTGCATAGATTTTTGTTCTGATGCTCTTACTAGTGTAAGAACAGTTAACAGTTTTCCCAAAAAATAAGTAGGGAGTCAATGTTAAAACTGTAGTGCAAAATGATACATTTCCAACACAGTGGTCCACTCAGTACACACACATACATAATGTATACAGCCTTTCTGTCATCATACTTGTTGTGAAACCATTTCATTTTTTCCTAACGAACCCCACTTCTCTTCATAGTCTGCATCAGCCTTCTGGATGCAAATCACAGACCTCCACGTCTGTTTCTATTCGTCTAACGGAGCATCTTCAACCAGAAAACCAACATGCACTTGATCACATCTTTGAGCAAAACAAAAAGTGACTTAGAGGATAATTTAAAAACTGTTTCTATCTTTAATAAACTTCTTTATCTTAAAACCTGTACAGGTTCTGTAGACGCCTTTGAAAGGAATCTTCTCGCACTTTCATTATAATATAAATTATATGCAAAATGTATTTTATTAAGCCACTGCAGGAGACCATTAATACACCCAAATTTAAATATTAAATTTTAATATACAAATTTAGTCACAGCACTTATATCAACCCTGTTAAGTCTTCATTTCTTGAAGTGAAATTACAGCTGATCTAGAACAAGGCAATTGATCATAATAGAAATACTTTTATAGGGGTATTTAATTTGTACCTGGAAGAAAAACTAGCCCTGCACTCTGAACAGTGATAAAAAAAAAAAAAAACACAAGCATTTCATATATGCTAGGTAAAATCTCATATTTCTTCTTTAAAATGGCTGGTCTTACGACTCTCTTCCCAGACTAATCTGGGGGGGAAAAAAGATACAATAAAATATTCTCAGGTGCAGCTTTTATAAAAGAAGAAAATCCTACTGATAAAATCATATTGCAAGGCCACAGACTCAAAATAAAGTTTTTTTTTTTAGTTTTTTGTTTTTTTTTTTTTAAAGGTAAAATGTCCTGTTTTAGCGAGCACTAAAGAGGCAGAGAGCCTCGCAGCGTTTAGCAGGTTTTTTTTTTTTGCAAAAAATAAATACAGTAGGTGGGTGTACGTGGCTCCAGTTTTTAGTGTCCCTGTGAGGTACAATGATCTTGGAGATTCAGGCAGGTAAATTGTGTGCAGGTATCTCCTCTCCCCACACGGGGGCGCTCTCACGCGGCTGCCATCTGCCCGGAAGACCAGTCGCTCAGGTAATTCTGCTTCTACGGCGAACCTCAGCGGGGAGCCGCTGCTGGTCCGTCACCCGTGTGCCACCTGATGCTCCAGCAGCCGCGGAGACCCGCGACCTCCGGCAAGTCATCGCCGCTCCGTTTGCATGCGCGGTCATTTGTGCTACTCGCATATATAGAAAAATAGTACAGAACTGCGGTGGAACTTTCTTGTGTATCAAATACAAGGCACAAAAAACAATGATATAAAAAAAAAGAAAGAACTGATCTTAGTTTTTAAAAAAGCACCTTTGGTTAAAAAGGAGGTACACCAGTTTAAAGACAACGGTAGAAAAAAACCCAAGATAAATAGCATTTGCTCTTCGTATAGCAAACAGATTCTTTCAGAGCGCTTTAGTGAAAAAGAAAGCAGTGGCTTCATTCATTCATTCTTACAAACACAGATGGCTTAAAAACAATAAAAAGACCCAAAACATCCCTCAGTATGTACAGTGCACACTTAGAAATTCTCAGATAATCTTTGTAGATGCAGAACCACCAATACGAGGATGTTGTCATTTTTACAGATGTATAGTACTTTCTGGTTCTGGTTTTTTGGAAAACTCATAAAGGATTGAGCACAGTGCTATGGGTGTATTTGAGGCAGACGAGCCCATGTTGAGGTGTGTGGGTGTGGTGCAGGGGGCCGGCCACTAGGGGGCGAGCTTGGCGTCCAGCCGAAGCCAGTGCAGACCCTGCCGCGCGTAGCGTACTAGCTCTGTCATGGTGCTGGTGTTGAAGATCAGGGGCGTCATCACCTTGTCCAGCTCAGCAAAGAATTCTGGGAAAGACAGCACACAACAGTGGTGCCACATGTCAACTCTAGCTGGTTCAGAATCGTCTGTGAACCATAATCCATGTTAAAAAATAAACCTTTAATGAAGGTGTTCACTGAATAAAGCAGAAAACTGGTGAGAAAGCATACAAAAATGTAGGTGTCTGGCAGGAACATGGGAGGGATTGTCTGGGGGTCCCTGAGGACCGAGCTGGGAAACATTGTTCTAGATCAGGGTTCTTCAACTCTGGACCTCGATTCCAAATCCAGGCCGTGTTTTCAGTTCTCCCAGGTAGTTGTTTAATAATGACTGATTCTGATTGGTCAGAGGCTTCACACCTGACTGACAGGTAAAGGAAGGCTGGAAAACCAGCAGTGCTCGGACCTCGAGTTGAATAACCCTGTTCTAGATCATGGCAGCTCAAATCCAACTCCAGAATACATTTTATGTGTTTATTATTATTACTTATATACAATTTATGTTTATGCATTTACTTTTTTTGTTCCTGCATCAGATCTGTTTATGGTGCCATGTTATGTCTTTTCCCTTTTCTATTAGAGGGGTCATTGTCTTGGTCATTGTACAGCACTGTGGTCTGTTGGGGCTGCTTGTAAATGTGCTATATCCTCCTGAGACCCCACCCATTCATTTATGTCCATTGCAGTGGACATTTTGTTTTGGCATCTATCTTTTCACTGATGTAAGGAAACATATTTAATCCTGTTGTACACTAAAGAGGACATGCTGTGAAATTAAAAATACATTTGAAAAAAATCTAAATTGTAAGATGTCATTTCCCCCAAAGACAAATAACCTAAAATTGAAGGACACTTTTTTTCCTTGGGTCTCATGAGGATATAAATAAATACTGACTTAACAGGTGTATGCGTTCAAGTTACTTTAAAGTATATAAATATGCATGCAGTGCAGCGCATGACGAGAGGGGTCCGTACCTTTCTGCTCTTTGCCCACTTGGTCTGCTTGGTCCCACACCTCGATGGCGTACAGGAAGTTGGAGGTGACCTGCACGTAACTGGCAGCCATCTGATGGATGCGCTGGGGGATGGTGACTGAGGAGCTGCTGTTGGCGCTGGAGCTTCCAGAGGAATAACCGGCTGTCCCTGGGGACAGCTTGGGGGAGACGGGGGAGGGCATGCCCGCCGCTTTGCTGCATGGGGGGGGGGGAGAGATGACCCATTAGCCGATGAGGCTGACCAGCGGTCTCTCATGAGGAACGGTATAACACTTAAGAGAGCTCATAGGAGTTTTATTTGCAAAAAAATGTTCTAAGGGCAGAACAAAAAAAAAAACTGGTTCCAATGATAACCAATCAGATTGTAGAGGTGGGTCCAAGCAACTAGAGAAGGTGGGACCAACCAATCAGATGTCTTGGGCCCGCCTCCTCCAGTTGCTTGGACCCACCTCCTCTACAATCTGATAGGTATTCTCCCTGAATAAATCATTTTTCGTTCTGCCCTCAGAACAACCTGGCTTCAGAAACACTCTGCCCTTAATCTACAACAATTTGTTGTTGTTGTTAACCTACAGTTTGATCCGTTTAAGACCATACAGATAAATCGAGAAACAGACTATTTGAGAGGCCGCCATACCATACATCCCATTACAAAATATCCAACCGTTTACATTTTATTTACCATTTTAAGGCTATAGCCCTACCTTCCCATTCCAGGAGATGGGGCTTGAGTATTGTTTATGGAATTCTGTTGACAGAAGAGACGAAAAAGCGACCGGAATTACGTTTCTCAATAAACACCGATCAGTGATTATATTTACACTTGTATTTACAGTCAGAAAATGTGTCTGTCGCTCGACTCAGATGAACCTACCTTCAAGTGTTCGGTGAGAGTTTTAGAGTATTTCAGCGCACTTTCCTTCCTCAGCTTGAAAAGACGCAAGTAAAGGAGAGACTGGCACCGCAGACTGGATGGGGATAGACAGGTGCGTTAGGGGACGTCCACAAATGCCGCACGCTGGAGGAGCCGACATGCCGAAGAGGTACGGCACCTACCAGAGCACTGCTAGCCTCTTATCTGTTGAAGTGGCATCTGGGGCCATGTAGCTCTTTAACTTCATAGTGTACCTGGAAGAACAGAAACCGTCCCGTCGTGTTTGAGTCGCACTGCGCGCGGAGTGCACTTCAGACACGCCCCCTGCCAGATCACATAGGTCATTAACACCTCGACCGGTCCCTAAAGCACGGGATTTCAACTAAGGGTCCGTAGCCCAGTCGAGGGGGGACCGCAGAGAAGTTTTGCAGGTTGATGAAGTACCAGCATCCAATACACGCAACAGGAGAAATACCAAGCTCGTCCCCCACCCACCCTTACTCCGCCGCACATGTCAGAAATGCAAATGAAAAGCAGAGATGCTTACTTGATGAGCTCTACGGTCTCCGCGTACATGGGGAAGGGGGACTTGGCCTCTTGAGCACTTCTCTCCAGCGCATTGCCGCACTCGATGAATGACACCACGGCATCCAGGTAATACACCGCCTTCTCGAACCTGTCCATCTGCCGTGGGGGGAGTGGGGGAGGGGGCAGAGCAACGTGTCATGACAGCAACAAGCCGGCTCGTCTCTATAGATTACAGTTTCCATCATTAATAGGAAGCTGTGCGGCAAACAACTGGACCACTTCCCTAAAGGCACACAAAAGGAGCCATACATTCAACCTTCACATGACTATCATGCAGAAATGATCGAACACAAAACAATGTAAACCCGGTTCACTCGGGCTGCACAATATCACATTGCGACGCAAATCGCGATTATATGCCTCATTCACAATCATCACCAGGGCTTTAGATGATGGACCATTACAGCACTATACAGACGTTTACTTAAGCCCACAATATGTAAGCATATCAGAAGTACGCCAAAAATATTATCGAGAGCCGTATTGTGTTGAGCAAGAGTTAGTAACCTGTAAAAATGTTGGCACATCCTTATGTTTATCAAATTCAGTTAGTAGAACAGGCCACAGGCTACCGTCTTGGTGCATCATGGAAGCGATAAGCACGTTGTGGTGAAGAAAGGGACAGATCAGCAGCCACAACATCTTTTGAAAGAGGAGATATTGTGGATAAACAAGGTTATGTTTATTTTTATAAACAAGGTGATGTGGTATTTTGTGCAGTTTAAAGTCAGCATTATTAATTAAACATAAGGATACACCATATTTATACGGATTACTAACTTTCTGGGCATCACAATTCGCCTCTCATTAATATTTTAGGTGTACGACTAATCCACTTACCAAATTATGGGTGTAAGTAAATGTCCACGTAATACCAAAAAGTCAGCGTCTGGACAAATGTTTACGGCCATCCTCTGAAGTCCTGGTGATTATTGCTCGTGCGACATATAGTCGCGATGTGATATCGTGCGGCCCTACTTTTCGCACACCATAAATCAAAAAGACTCTGGAGATTGAGCAGTACCTACCCCTACTGTCAAAAAAAAGCTAATTCCAACAGGTTGAAAAGTCATATATACAAAAGACTATCGGACATCTCATCTGATAGTTTAATTTGGTTTCACCCATAACAGAGGAGATCTTGGTAATGTTGCTCATCGCGCTCACTAGTATCTTACCAGAGCATCTGCATTGTGCTTCAGCTTCTTGGCTTCTTGTAAGTAGTAATCGGCAGAATACATCCTGAAACGCGGCGCGGGAATAGACTGCGTTATCAGCCGGCCCCATATGGAATTACAGATCGCTCTTATAAAGTTCAGTAACTGTCAACAAAGCACAAAACAGCTTGGGAATCCCCACAAGCCAGGTGTAGGCAGACCTCCGCCCACCTGTTACCCCCTCTGGGCTGGTCGACCTGATAAAACCAGCCCTGCATTCAGTGTGAATTATTTACCTGTCTTCGAATGCGAGTTTTGGTCTTTGAGACTTTGTACTTTCAGAGGAGAGGATCTGATTCGCCATCTGGCCTTCAGAGGTCTTTGAGGCTTTTTCCTGAAAAGATCACAGCAGCACAAAAGAGGTGATTTCAGAAGAATATCTTAGAAAGCAAACGTTTTCAGTGTAAACATATACATCCATCTTCGGTAACGGTTTATCCAGGATGGGGTCTGAGTGAGCCTGGAGCCAATCACAGGCGCGGACTGGAGAACCAGGAGGAAACATGCGCAAATTCCACAAAGATGAGGGCGGGAATGGAACCCACAACCCTGGAGGTGTGACGCCATATTATAAGCACCACACTGCCCAGTTTAAAGGGCCTCAAAATCGAAAACAATGAAAGATTCTATTAAACACAAGGCTACACAACTCCTCTGCTGGGTTTTATTCAACCATAGCCCTTAACTGAGCTAATTAATTGGATAGTTAAATTAACAGAATATAGACATTTAACTCAATTGGTCTTTCAAGTGCAAAGCTCCATTCTCTAAAACCTTCACAGTTTTGGTCTTTGAGGACTGAGACTGTAAGCCACCAGTTACGGGAACCATCTCTAAATAAAAAGGTCGTGGGGAGCCGGAGGGGTACCTTAACTTCCTTGCTGCTCCTTGGCTGTTTCTCTTCGCTCTTCTTGTGCTTGGAAGAGGAGCCCCCAGCCTTGGCACTGCCGTGTACGGAGGTTGAGGACTGGCTTGCTGTTCGCTTGCGGCTCTGGTGCTCTCCTTTGGGGGTCTTCTGGGGACCCGCGATCACCGGCGAGGGAACTGGCTCCTTCTCCTTGTCCGACCCCCTTTTTGATGCCCTGCGTTTTCACAGAAAGTAAACAGGTCATGTGACTCCATCAGTGTACTTCACGGCTGATCTTCTGCTGGATTTGTGGGACCATGGGGGGGGGGGGGGGGGCACTAAACTTACTCCTTGCTGCTTTTGTGGTGGGAAGAGCTCTTGTCTTCCAACCTAGGCCTCTTGCTGTCACTTTTGACGTCATCCTCACTCTAGATTGAACACGAATGTGTTATCACAACATAACTATGATGATTTGATTCAAATGCACAATGACTGGACAAAGGATGTTTATCACTGCAAAATGCTCAGCTTCAACTGACTAATAACGGTTTTTGGAATGACTGTTTTCAGACTATTGCAATGAGGAAAAAGGATTTTGAAACAAACGAGAAACCAGTGAAAAGCCAGAACACAAACCTTGTGTTTCCTTTTGCCTTTGCTGGCAGTCTTCTCGGGCAATTGCTTCTGGATGTCCTTGCTGTCCCTCTCGGTGCCATCTTTGTCCCACTTGGACTGGTCGAGCTCCATATAGGGCCTGCCTGGTATCCGGGAGAGTAAACTGAGGTCAATCTTCACCATGAGCACCTGTCTGACAGGGAAGCGGTCATCTGGGTCACTGAGCGGGGAGAGCAACTCCTTCTCTTCCATGGGAGAGAATATGCACACTGGAGTCTGGATGCTCTCCTGGGAGTACTTTGGAGTCTGCGACAAGGAGGGAATGCTGTCGTTCTCCTCTGCCTCTGAAGACGACGAGTCCGTATCCACAAACTTCTCGGACTTGATGGGCGTCTTGATGGGGGTTTTACACTTCCGCTTGTCGGCGGTCTGCCTGGGCGAGATCTTGGTCTCCTTCCTGATGCTCGGTTTGCGGGAGCCCTTGGTGGCCGCCTTGGCCCGGTGGGGAGGGATATCTGGGGTAGGTTCACTCTCTACCTTCACACCCCTGGACTCCTCCACCCCTGGGAGCTTCTCAGACTTCTTGGGCTGCTTCTTGCCCACAGTCCTTCGCTGGGCGGCACCGCCGTCACTCTGCGCGGGGGACTTCTGCCGGCCACGAGAGACATCGGAGACCTTCGCAGCCGCTCGGAGGTCCCTGTTCGGGGCTGCAGTCCCTGGCTCTTTGGTCCCACCCTGGCTACCGTAGCCCCTGCTAGAACTCGGCTCTCGACCCTCTTTCTTATACTTCGTGGGTACGTTGCTGTCCACCGGGGATGGTGGCGACAGCTTCTTGTGAAGCCAGTTGTCCAGCTGCCACTTATTAGCGGTTGGTTGCTCAGGCTGAATAAAAAAAAAAAAAAAGCAACAGATGGATTACTGTTAGCAATTAAGTGCAGATTCTACGTGTTGTGCTTTCGATTCGCCAGCCACATAGCAGTTCATTAATTACTATCCTGGGACCCTTTGTTATTTAATCCCCAACATGGAACTTGCTGTCGTTATCTATCCTTCGTTTAACCAAAAAGGTCCCACTGAGATACAATATCTCTTCTTCCAGGGAGTCCTGGTTAAGATGGGCAACAAAATAAAAGTTTCACGTAAAAGTTTCAATAGAAGCAGATAACGCCACAAAAAGCATGTTAAAACAAACACGGAGCATACAATGAGTAGAAGCTAAAATGGATCGATGGGAAATAATGGCAAACAACCATGCATAATAGATCAGGGAATGTACAAGGCAAACTAGGAGTTCCCCCACCCACTTTCGGTGGGTACTGGGGAGGAAATCTGATCTGGTAAATGTTTACTACAAACAAGACTGTATTAACGGGCATGGAAAGCCACCTCGGGGGATGCAGCGCGGGGAGGTTCGGTGGCCTCGCTGTCGCTGGAGCTGCTTTCGCTCTCGCTGTCGGAGCCGGAGCTGCTCTCCGAGCCGCTGGGGCTGCTGGATGCCTCGCCGTGGTTGCTGAGAGGTGACAGAAGTGGCAGGCAGGTAAGCTTGTGCCACCGTGGTACCTCCCAACCAACCAGCCAGAGCTGACACATAAATCGGCCACTAATGTTGAACCATCCATGCTAATACCTGGCAGGTGTACTTCCCGAAAGAGGACGGCGATGGTCGTTCTATGCTAACGCCATGCTAATACCTGGCAGGTGTACTTCCCG